TATTTTGTATATACACACACACACATATATATATATATATATTCCTACAGAATACATTTCACTACAGTATATTTTTAGTTCTAAAGTGGCTACCGAGAGATTACATAAAGTTACTTTGTTTCAGGATTTTCGCATAAAGCTACGAATGGGTTATCTTTGCTAGCTGTCTCTAATTTTGAATTGATAGGGTAGAGAGAAGACAATTGGTTAAGAGTACTCACCGTCATCTTTTGAAATACTCTAATTGCATAATGGGATTTGATCGTCATTCTTATAACTCACCCAAAGTACAGAAATTGTTTCTAAATTGTTAAAATTAATCTAAACTTAATAGAAAACCCAGGAATAAAAACCATACCGATATTGAAAACGCTTCCAAAACATTTGATGTTTAGTTTCAAAATTTTGTTACACTTTCATTTCTCGTTTATCTCAGAAATAAATGTGACCGACAGCATCCAAAACATCCAAGATAGAGTTTTAATAACTGTAGAAATATCATGAGTAGTAATTTTTAATAACATGTTATACAATATATAATTTTCGTGTATAAAAATGCGTTCTTGTTCTCTAAAATTCGAAATTTCTATCTCTCGTTTTATGTTTGGTAATAAGAAAAACGTAATATATTCAAAAAGATGCATAGATAGTTGTTTTTTTTTTCTGAATACAATTTTATTTGAATGTTTTGATTGAAAAACTTGTATATAAGTTACTTATTCTCTTGTGTGAATTGGATATGTATTTTCGTGCTAGCGCTTTTTTCTGAAAATATACGCTAAGCTAAACATAGAAGTAAGAGAGTACACCAAGCAATCGACAATAGACTCACAATTTCGGGTCGCGGGATCGAAACCCATTGCCGAACATGCCTGCCCCTTTCAGCCGTGGTGACGTTATAATGTGTCGGTCAATCCTACTATTTGTTAGCAAAGAGTATCCCAAGAGTGAGCGGTGGGTGTTGTTGACCAGTCTATTACTTCAAAATTAGTACAGTCAGTGCATCTAGCTCTCGAACAGCTTTGTATGAAATTAAACAAACAAACAATTAACTTCTAAAAAACGGCCCACCATGGCCAGGTGGTTAGGGCCCTCGACTCGCAATCTGAGGGTCGCGGGTTCGAATCCCCGTTCCACCAAACATGCTCGCCCTTTCAGCCGTGGGGGCGTTATAATGTGACGGTCAATCTCACTATTCGTTGGTAAAAGAGTAACCCAAGAGTTGGCGGTGGGTGGTGATGACTAGCTGCCTTCCCTCTAGTCTTACACTGCTAAATTAGGGACTGCTAGCGCAAATAGCCCGCGTGTAGCTTTGCGCGAAATTCAAAGCAAACAAACTTCTAAAAATTTAAGAAAGTTTCGTGATAAAATATTAGGATTGTAGTCAATGAATTTTTGATGATTGAGTTAAGTGTGTAATAAATTTACTTTTTTTTTCTCATATACAGAAAACTGAATTATAGCCATTGAAAATATGTAACGATATAAATACGAAAACTTACCGCTTTCATTTAAGATAAAACTGGGCATCAAAAATTGAACGAAAAGGGGCAATTATACGCATACAAGTAGTATGATTTTAAATAAAATGGTGTTTCGTGAGAGTAAATATAAAAATATCATTTACGTACCACTTTTTTTTAGCTGTGGGACGCGACAATGACAAAAAACCTTGCTTCGGATGTGGGCTGTATGCATCTAAAACACTTTAAAATGTAACAAAACGCTTTTCAATTTTTTCCACATTAAATATTTATTGTATCATTTTATTTATTTAATTAACTAATTAATTTATTATGTTTTGTATCTATATATATTCATTACGTATTAGTATGTTTTTCTCGCAGTGGTTTCATAAACATGTTTCATGCCAAAATACGAAAATGAATCCAAATGAGATTTATTTATTGTTTGTACCGAGAGACTGTTGTCCCCTAGTGACACAGTGGTATGTCTGCGGAATTAAAACACTAGAAGCCAGGTTTCGATACCCGTGGTGGGCAGAGTATAGATAGCCCATTGTGTAGCTTTGTGCTTAACTTCAAGTAATAAGAGATTGATTTTCTTTGACGTAGAAATGTTTGTTTTCACGTGTTTTCGTGATTTAGGCAGGCTTTCCAAATCAGAGTTGGTGAAACGTTGTGTTTAATTTATTGATCAACAAATTCCGTTTTATAAAATTTGTAGTGCATATTGGAGGAATTTAGAGATTTTAATAATAAAATTAGAAATAAAAAACGACTTTTATTTATTCTCCTCTCCAGGTATGGCGGTTTCATCAGGGCTACTAGTACATTAACATTCTAATAATTAATGGTTGTCACGAAATCTATTTTACTTTCACAGAATGAAAGCTGCTGTTTTAATTGCTTTCGTACCAAAAATAAAACTCTTTATTCTGAATATGTCGAATTTAAAAAGGGTTTGTCTTCGTTTTCAGGTTTTTCTTGGAAGCCCATCAGAAGGCGAACTCCACAGAGGTGACATCATCATGAGAATTGGGGATCGAGACTCTAATAGGCTAACTCACCAAGAGGCTCATGACGTAATTGTCAGATCTGGCAATAATTTGAAACTTGTTGTTAAAAGGTAAACTTACCACCCGTTAGTTAAAAGTGAGTTCGAGTAATGATAATGACGTTACAGTAAAGCACCAAAAGAGCAGCTTTCACTATACTCTGCAACGTTCTTCTTTCAAAAGCTGTTCTATCTAGCTTTTTGGGAGAAAAAGTGAGGCTTGCGTTAGAGGCGTGCCTCTTTAAATTAGAATAGAATTCGATAATTTCAAAGGTCATATAATATTGTGGTGTTTAGAATACTCCTTTATATAATCTGTGCTTAAGTAACCTTCATTCTTAATTTCTTTCACGTGATATAATCACATTCCTTTAGGAAAAGTGTTTGTGTTATTGAATAATCTGTTTAATGTGATAGGGATTCGTTGTTCACATTTTCGCTTTACAAGAAAGCAGAAATAAGTGTTAGAAACTCGTAAGTATTTTTTTAAATTTCTCTTCTGTCTTTTTTTTATACGTTTTACTTTGTATGTTTACATGTTGAATACTGAGTTACAGCAAGAGACTATAATGCGTAACTAAATATTATATGGAAAGTGGGTAATCATGAAATCTTTTTTTGGGCCTCAGGTGTTTTTAAACAGCCTAAAAGCATTACAACTCTTATTAAATGATTTAATTAATTAAAAAAATGATAGTAAATTTCTGACTGAAAATTAATTTATAAAATATAAAAACTCTCTTTCGTTCTTTCATTGTCATTTTAAAAATGTATTAAAATCATAATACTTTCATTAAGAAAATTTGAGATAAATATTTTTTCCTGCATACCCAACGTTTTAACTCGGGTATTTTCGCTTATCAGTTCATTTACTTGGTGTTCATAAGTAAGATTTTTCTTGGTTATCAAATAAACTATTTGTTCTGCTGTGTATAAATGTCAGATTTTTACATGCAGGGGAGTTAAATCATAAAAGTTAGACATAACAGAGACAGAAAAGTCAAGTGAAATACCTAAAGTGCATTTAACCTGAAATACATGAAGTATACTGATACCTGAGTTATAAGAAAAAAGACAGAAACGTAATGTAATACACTTGTTGTTTTCTTATATTTGAAATAGAAATAGAAAAGATAAGTCAAATACGTGCAGTGATCTTAAATTCTAAAATTGAGTAGAGAACTAAAGGTACGAGTGAAATACATAAATTGGTTTTATACAAGAATTAGTATTTTTTTCTTTGCTGTGTTTTGTGTAAAGCTATAGGAGCGCTATCTGCGCTAGTATTTCCTCATTTTGAAGTGATAGACTAGAAGGAAGGCAACTAATCACTACCACCCACCGCCAACTCTTGGGATACTATTTACCAACGAAAAGTGAGAATGGACGCCACATTATAACACCTCCATTTCTGAAAAGGCGAGCAGATTGCAAGTCGAGCGCCCAAACAACCAGTCCATGCCAAGCTTCATAGTTAAGAGACAATAGTAACGTGAACTACCTGCAGTGGTCTTATGCCTGAGTTACTAAAAAGACAGAAAGTAATATACACTACTTGCTGTTATCCCATACTTGAGGCTGTAAACAAAGACAAGTGAAATAGAAATCCTAAATCTTAAAAGTGAAACAATAGGGAGAAAGGGGAGTCAAGTGATATAAGTTTTATATTAGAAATAGAAACGAAACAAAATATTCAAGTTAAATATATGCAACAGTCTTAAGTCTACAGTCTAATGAGGTTTGTCACAAGTAGATATGAATCCTGAATGAATGAATAAACTTGGCAGTAATATAGGTTGTAAATCTCACAAGCCCCGAAGGAGATTGAGAGACAACCTAGGGCGCTCAGAAGCTGTTGATATGAATCCTATTCATGCAATAGATTTAAATACTTTCGTGGTATAGGTGTATTATAAAAGTGGTAGGCAACTTGCTGTTTGGCTCGAAGTGTTCTTGAATCGGCGGATGCTGGTGTCTTATTGCCTTCTTTCTGGCTAGTAGTTTAAAATTAGAGCTGGCCGAGCCTGAACCTTCGTTGTTTGTGATCTGTCCATATATGCATACCGTGTCATTCAATTCTAAGTATTGTTGATACGATTTATGACTAATACAACTGTAATACTATGGCAATCGTACATGTCACATCCATCTTACCAAGGCAGTGATTTACGTAATTAACTTTAATATTTATGTTTACCTTTTTACATTTTTTTTATGTGTGGGTTGTATGTTTTTAGGTTTATAAAAGGTTTCCTCTAGGTGCGCAAACTGAAAGTAAGTTTTTAACCCTTTGTGTGATTTAGAGAAAGTGATTAGAACACACATTTGGTAAGTTCAACGACAAAAATATTGTTATATTTTAAAGTTACTACAGGAGAGATTAGTTCTTGTAAGACACTGTGAAATGTGTATGTTGAAAATAATCGTTTTATTTTAGCCAAATACATTTGCTTTCCATATAAATGATGATAAGACTAACAAGTTTATTGCTGAAACATGTATATTGGGTGACATTGTTTATCAGACTCTCGTGTGTTTATGAGAGCTGAGAAAGCTCGAAACTGTATTTCTCAGCTAGGTATGCAGAATATGCGATGGCAAAAACGTGTATCAGACTTAGCAGGACAAAAAACACAAATGAAATTGAAAAACAATGAAACAGAAAAACAAGTGTATGTTTAACAAACAAGCATAGAGGGTCATAAGGAGAAAAATATGCATATTAATGGAAGGCAAGTATTCCAGAAATGTTTTAATTTGAGTCTGTTTTGGTTATTAAACAGAATGCTATACAATAAACTATCTTTGTTTCGTACATCATGGGTATCGAAACCCGAATTTTAATGTTGAAAGCCTGCAGACTTACCACTGAGCCACTGGGAGGCATTTTAATTTGAGAGTGGACAAATGTTATATTTATGCAAAAGAAAATGGTCTGCCAAAGAAGTAAAAATATATATCCCTTATATAACTTTATCAGATTAACCAAACAATCAAAAAAGTTTTTAAAAAGCTTCACATTTAGTTCAAACATCTTAAACGCATTCTATTTTGTCACAATAACCATAAATTTATCCCCAAACCTATAGTATAGTCGATTACTCTTAAGATTGAAAACTAGTTCATAAAACTTTAGAAAAAATATCTCAAGTTCCTTAAAACTACCGCAATAGTAGCATTTTTATTAAG